AACTGCGCTCTTTAGAATCCAAAGATGTTCAAATCCACATTTTGAACTGAATAGCTGAGTGATTATGAGCGCTTGGGTTTAAATGAAAAACAAATTCTGCACACATCTTGATCTCTGAATAAAGCGCACAATATGGATGAAAGGAAAAAACTGACAACGGTTAGCAATGAAATATTACCGAGTATGTTAAAATTCACAACTGAAAACACCGACTCCTACCTACCTGATATATCAACGATAACCACTCCTCCACAGATTGAGATGGCAAACTTTGCGCAAACGACTCCAACCATTCCCGAATGCACACACACAGTTGTGGAGTAGTAGATGCGTTGTGCCCGAATACCTGCAGACCAGTCCACTTGGAAAATAAAAGCGAAAGAACAGAATATTGCAAATGACGTAAAACGTGCCAATACTACAGCTTTTGCTAGTGTACATCCGGCAGAGGGATTTGTGAAAAGAGCCCTAGAAAGCAGTTGCGAGACCATGGGCAGCATTTCCGGCAGGTGCTCTGCAGGAAAGTTTGAGACAGCGCTGCGTACAGCATCACAAACCTAAATATCAAGTAAGTAGCACGAAACTTGGCAGTTTGTCTGCTTTAGATCACCTTGTCGCCGACAGCGATGGGTAGTTCGTTCAATTCGAGAAAATTACGAAAAACTGGGAATACTTGGCGGAATATCAACACAATTGGAGACTCTTCGGAACGTCCAGCTTCTCAAAAGGAAAATGATAACATAACGGGATGGGAGTGATAAACTTGAGAATGCTGAATACCTTTGCTGTTCAAGCTACTGAACAAGCACATAAAGATACTGATTTGAAACTTTATTTCTTCTATTTTGCTCTGTGAAAGGACAGCGTTTTCGTTCTCCATTCCCCGCAGATGATGTGATACGACGTTGTTCAATATATTCTGGATATTTACCAAAATTACATTATTGAAAACAAATGTATGTAGAAGCAATACCATGACATCACTTTGCGACTTCGTCGACAGAACATATCCAATACATTTCAGTGCTTGTAGACGCAAGTCTTGGTTGTTCGTTTCATCCATGAAAAACGAATAGCAACATTGGGATATTTCATTGTCGACGCGCTAAAACTCATTGCGCTGAACCTTCCATACTCATAAAGTTGAAACTTCGAAGGCATC